AAAAGAGGAAGACCCCCAACGAGATGAATCAGCCAGGTGGCATCATTGATGGACTCAAGTGTGGCAGCGGTAGTGAGGTTGGCCCAGGATCGAACAGTGTTTCGTTCCGACTCGATGGCACCTGACAACAACAACAACAAGGTCCTTTATAGTTTGAGTATACTCATAATACAAGGACCTGAATATGGTATAAAGGACTGGATAAATGAGTGGAAGCTGGACTCAACCAGACCTAGACTCATATACTGACTGTGCCATTTATGGTCTCTGTGGCCATTAAGAATGTGAAATGAACTAACAAATTGGAAAGCAGTTTGGAAAATCAAATCGAAAATACGCCATACAAATGTAGGAAATGGCTCAGATACAGTTTTCTCAATATTCTGAGATCAAGGGAAGGAAATTGCACTTTCACAAAGGGCTTACTCTCAGCCAAGTGGGAAAGTTTCTGAATTTGTCCCCTGCCCTTTCATTGCACCATTCTTTGTCTTATTTTCCAATTTCAGTTAGGCCTTGCCCCCTGCCAAGAGTCAAAGGAGGTTCTCTTGCTGCTTAGATCCCTTCTTGTCAGTGAGGAAATGATTATTTTAAGCTCATTTACCTGAAGTTAATTAGCCTAATGGGTACCCACTAACAGGGTTATAGAGAAAGAAAGAGCACAAACAAAACCGCTAACGGAAATTCAAGTCTCAGTAGGGATAACATTTTGGGAGGGGGACACTTTCTAAAGCTTCTCAGATGACAGTCATCTATTCTTTCAAAGGTAAATTCAGTCCCTTGAAACAATTTCCACCATAGATGAAGATGTGGTTGAGTGATATTTTAGAAATTTCAAAGCAAAAGGGGCCTATGCCCTTTTTGTTAAGATTTTCCTAATTGCCCCTTTAACATCCTTGTTCCTCAGGCTGTATATTAGGGGGTTCAACATGGGTGTCAGAGCTCCATACAACACCGAGATAAACTTGTCCTGGTCTGGGGAGGACTTGGACTGAGGTTTCATATACATGGCGATAGCTGCCCCATAAAATATTGTCACCACAGTCAGGTGAGAGCCACAGGTGGAAAAGGCCTTGAACCTGCCTGGGGCTGAGCGAATCCTCATGACAGCAGCAACAATTCGAACATAAGAAAGGAGGACAAATCCAAAGGGTAAAAGCAACGTGAAGATGCCAGTGATGAGGATCATAAGCACATTGAGGCTGGTATCAGAACAGGCCAGCTTAAGGAGGGAGAGAATCTCACACACAAAATGGTTGATGACATTAGCCCCACAGAAGTGAAGCTGCAAGGATAAGATGACCATGGCAGTGAGTACAAATGATGCCCCCCATGAGGTTGCAGCCAGCCAGGCACACACTGGACCATTCATAACCACAGAATAGCGCAGGGGATTGCTGATAGCAACCACACGATCATAGGCCATGACAGCCAGTAGGAGACACTCTGTTGTGGCCAAGACCAAAGAGACACTCATCTGGGTCAAACATCGTGGGTAAGAGAGGTAGGGGTGGGTAGAGAAACAGTGTACCAATGCTTGAGGCATAGAGGCTGTTCCATAACAAACGTCTAAAAAAGATAAATTACTAAGGAAGAAATACATTGGAGTGTGGAGGCGGGGGTCAAAGTAGATAAGAAAGATGATAAGTCCATTTCCCAATAAGGTACTGAGGTAAGTTATCAGCACCAATGTGAAAAAGATGACTCTCCATTCAGGGTAGTTAGAGATACCAATGAGGAGAAACTCAATCACTGCTGTGGCATTGCCTACAACCATCCTGCGTGCCAATGCAACTGCCTAATTTTACCTGAAAAAAACAAAACAAAACAAAAAAGAATGGAAAATACAGATAGAGGGTATGACAAAGGTGATAATGTGTAGGCTGGGCATGATCATTATCTTGTTCTTTTCAAAAGGCACAGAGCATAAATGGAATTTCTATTATGGAAACAGAGGCAAAGCTAAAAATCTGCCCTTATCCTTAAAAACACTTGTTTTTAAGCGCCGTTGAGTTGTTTCCAGCTCATAGAGACCATGTATAGAAGTTTCCAGGGGTTTAGACCTCTGACCTTGTGGTTAGTAGTCCAGTGCTTATCCTACAGCGCCCCGTTCTAGGACCACTGTGGATACCAAAATGTATGGATGTTCTATTCTTTCATATAAAATGGCATAGTCTTTGCATATAACCTATACACATCCTCATCTATATTTTAAATAATTTCTAGCTACCTTCTGTTATTGTTAAATGCCATGAGTCGGTTCTGACTCATAGCCACCCTGTAGGTTTTCAAAGTTGTAAATCTTTGCAGGAGCAGAAAGCTTCATCTTTCTTCTATAGATCAGCTGGTGGACTCCACCTGTCGACCTTGTGGTTCACAGTTCAGTGAACCACCCTGCTGCCCAGATACTAATATAAAATCATATTACATATGTTGTTGTTATGTGCCGTGGAGTCGATTCCGACTCATAGTGACCCTATATAGGGTTTCCGAGGCTGTAAATCTTTACAGGAGCAGAAAGCCTCATCTTTCTCCCACGGAATAGCTGGTAGTTTCTAACTGCTGACCTTGTGGTTCACAGCCCAATTCGTAACACCTAATAATATAATATGGTGGTGGTGGTGGTTATGTGCCGTGGAGTTGGTTCTGACTCATCGCGACCCTGTACAGGGTTTCCGAGACTGTAAATCTTTATAGGAGCAGAAAGCCTCATCTTTCTCCCATGGAACAGCTGGTAGTTTCGAACTGCTGACCTTGAGGTTCGCAGCCCTATTCGTAACCACTACGCTACCAGAACTCCTTGATAATATAATACACTCACCTATAAACGTTGCTGTTGTTAAGTGCTGTGGAATCGGTTCTGACTCATAGCGACCCTGTATAGGGTTTCCAAGGAACAGCTGGTGAGCTTGTGGTGCAAATTGGTCTTGTGGTCCAGTGCTTTATTCCATAGCACCACACCTAATACAATGTAAATGCTATGAAAATAGCACTTTATGCTCCCTCTTAGCCTTTAAATGATTGCTTTGATCACTTAATTGCTTTTTTTCTTTCCAATAGTTTCAATCCACAGTTGGTTGAATCTGAGGATGCTGAATCTGGGAATACTGAGGGCCAACTATATAGAAAAAAGTTCTTCCGTTCTCCTCCACCAGATGACTTCCTGGATAATTTTTCCAAACTAAGAAGAGAAGGAGCCCTGGTGTGGCGCTGTAGAATAAGCACTGGACTGCTAATCACAAGGTTGGAGGTTCAAGCCCACCAGTCACTCCTTGGAAACTCTTTAAGGGTCTCTGAGAGTCATAACCAACTCGACAGCACTTAACAACAAGAGAAGAAAGGGAGACCATCTTCCTGTCTCACTCACTTGCTTTCCATTTTCCAAGCAAGTCGGATGCACAGATATAGTTGTGCCTCAGTTAATTTGAATTACTAATCTCCATCAAAAGAGTATCTTCTGACAGGTGAGATGATGTAACTAAAACCTTTTTTTTGGGGGGGTCTGTGTTGGACTTGTTTCCATTTTTTTCACAGTGTCAGTGCGTACCACAATAGGTACTTACTTCTTGATCTGATCTACTACTATATATAAGAAGTGATTCATGGGGTTCATGCGATCTGTGGAATCCTCTGCTAATATTCCCTGTTGAAGTTACATTCCCAACATCTTCTGTGCTTTCCATCAATGATTGCTAAGTCTCAGTTGCTGTTGTTAGGAGTTGTTGAGTTGTTTCCAACCCTAGTGACCCTGTATAAGTTTTCCGAGGAGTGGCTGGTGGATTCAGTCCGTCTACCTTGCAGTTTGAACTGACCTTGCAATCCAGCACATTATCCTGCAGCATCACACCAGGAGTGTGAAAATCGAATGTAATAGTTCAGAAAGTGTGGGTGGTAAGGAGAAGACTTTGGTGACAATCCTATCTGATTTCCATCCTGTCTTACTTTTCCTCAGAGCACATTCCAATATATGTAATGACACTACTAATTTGATTGCTACTTTTTACTTGTCACCCTCTCAAAGCTATTGAGGAAAGGGACCTTGTCTGCTTTGTTTACTGGTATATCCCTAGCATCTAGAACAGTGCCTGGATATCACAAGATTTCAATAGCTAGCAGCTGGTGTGGTGCTGTAGGATAAGCACTGGGCTGCTAACCACAAGGTCGATGGTTAACCCACCAGCTGCTTACCAGAAACTCTACACAGGGTTGCTATGAGTCACAGATGACTTAACAGCACTTAACGAAAGAGAGAAAGAGAAGGGAGGGAGGGAGGGAGGGAGGGAGGAAGGAAGGAAGGAAGGAAGGAAGGAAGGAAGGAAGGAAGGAAGGAAGGAAGGAAGGAAGGAAGAAAATGAATATAGAAAGTTTCAGGCAGTCATGAATAATATTCAGAATTTAACAACTTCACTGCCATCCCTTCCAAGTCATACTCTTTGCTCCCCTGAGTTTTGTTTAGTAACTGCATTATAGAATGCCTAGTTTCTGGCCTTGGTCCCCTTTAGTTCAAGTGATCACATTAAACTGTTAGTCAGATCAAGTCAGTGTTCCATTATAACATTTCTCTAGTTTTCCATTTCAAACTCACGAAGCACCAATATCCTAATTATGAGCTACAAGGCTTCACCTCCTTGCTACCATTCTGACCCCAATTCCTACACTTCCCCTGGATCACTCTGCTTAATCACACTGGTCTCAAACACACAGTACATATGCCTTCCTCAGAGAATTTCAACTTGTTGCTTCATATAAGACCCACGATATCATTTGGTCTGGCCCTGTCAAGGCAACCACAGTTTCAGAATTCACACTTTTGTTTTGTTGGGTGCCGTCAATCCATATTGATTCATAATACCTTACGTACAACGGAACAAAACACTGTTAACCTCACAATCATTGCTACCCTTGAGCCCTTTGCTGATGCCACTGTGTCATTCCATT